ATTAAACAAAAACTCAAAAGATATTCTTTCTTGGATGTAAAAAGCATTATCTCTCTTTTCAACAACTATTATGTTACATTTCTGTTTCTGCATTACGCAGAACTCCCAAAACTCAGTTCTTTTCTAAGTTTAGATTGTTTCATAAAAATATATATATAAAGTCCATATATAACAACTAAGTAATATACTGAGTTTCCCATTTTTATTTTTAAAATATTTTATCTGAGCCAAAAAGGCAAACTTTGAAACTTTAAATGATGACAGAATCTGATCATACCCATACTTTATTTGAAGTCTAATGGCTAAATAAATCTCTAAACTATCAGTCTTTCTTTCAAGAATAACATTTGACAGCCATGCAAAGGACATTTCCTACCTTTAGCACCATTATTCAGCCTTGAGATCTCAGCTACCCTTTAAATCTAACCACAACAAATCAAAACAAAAAACAAAAGCTGTCACATGAAAAGAACAAAAATACCTGAACAATTTTATTGCTCCATCTTGGCTTCCTCATTTCAGAAAATGGCACTAAGTAACATAAATAAACTAACAGTATAATTAGTGTCAAAGTCCTGAGGTACATTTGGGTGGGGACCGCAATTCTAATTCTGTTTTCCAAGAACTGTGATTCCAATTCAGAAATTTGTGGTCTCTACTACCACCACCATTGCTGAGGAGCTCAGGAGTAGTTGAGGTTACCCTTTAGAAACACAACCAAAGGAATTTGAAATGGCTCCATAAAGGTTTTGCCAATGACCAAACTTTTTTTTGGAACATCTCAACACCTACTGCTCTCCCCTAAAGTAGCTTCAGCCAGTCCAAACAAAGCCAGATCCCTAACCTTTTATTGATAACTGGGGGAAAGATTCACTATGAAGTAGAATTACTATATTACCTACACGCTACTGATTTTTAAAAATTTTAAGGACCAAAAATCACTTGCATCTAAGATTGTATAGAAAATTATTTGGTGAAATTTTCATAAGACTGAAAGAGAGTTAGTAGAATAACAAAAGATCACCCCAACCCAAAACAAGATATCCCAAAGCACTGACCTAAAAGGGGGAGCAGAAGTATTTTACTTTTCCAAAACTGTTACAACTTTTCTATTTTTCTATGCCTTCCACTAGGTTTGTAAAAGAATATTTGAGGGAAGCACTGAGAGGAAGCACATTCATTTCAAAACTCTGACCGGAGAAAAATAGTCAACATAGTGAACATCACTGTTCGGTGTTAAAGAAGCTAGCGATGGAGTAGAGAATAAGAGATTGCCACTGCTCAGATCTAAAACCAAAGGGTAAAGAGAAATAAATCCCTCAAAATACTAACTAGTGCCATATCAATTTTCTTCCCTCCCCTCTCCTGGTCATTATCAAGAACTAGCTTGAATCATAGATATAATGATATTAAAATAATAGCTCCTCAGCAAGACCATCCTAGCAAATTACCAACTAAAAGAAAAATGAATAAAAAGTGGAAGACACCAAAGGCAAATACACACTGTTATGGAAATTACTAGCAGTGCAGTTATAGTAATGGAAAAAGCAACTGAAAAGAAGCCTCTCTAGCTAACATTGCCAAATTATGTGAACTAGCTTTAGCATGCTCTTTTGAGTTAAATATACCTGATCATTCCAATTTTCAAATCTTGGAGAAAAGTTGGGAATTGCTGGAGAGACAGCAGAGAGTTCTTCGAGTTTAGTATCGATATCAGCAAGCTGCTGATGCTGGGTGACTGCAAGTGTATATCCTCCTCCTGGGTCCAGCCAGACAGACTGATCACCCTAAAAGGAAACAAGGGTACTGGGTCATTTCCATGCCACATTCATTCCCTTAAAAATACCTTTCAGACTGATACAAGTGCTCAGGAGGTCACAAAATCAAAGCTAAACTGAAAACAATGGAATTAACATTGGGATAGTGAAAAAAAAATAGTTTATGGTTTCATCATCTACCAACCCCGCATAAAGTGCCTTCACATATATTGTGAGGTTTTCCCCTTTTGGGGTACATCTTTGAGCCTCACAATCTGCTACTCATAGCATTCTTACCTCTCCAGTTTAAAAAAGTAGGTATGCTTGTGATAAGTTGAATAGAAAGAAATCATGTTCACCCTATAATAAACAAGGCATTTTCATATTTTTGTCCCTGAAAAGGAACAAAAGATTATAAACTGAGCTGTTTAGGTTTCGTGAGCTTAAACGGTCATCTAAGTCTTCATTCAATTAACAGTTTCATATTGCGTTAAAACCCATTCATAACAATTATTCAAAAGTCTGAACGCCTACTATGTGTAAGCATGACACCGGGCATTGATAATTCAATACGAATTTTACAAATTTCTCCCCTTAAGTCCTCAGTCTCTTGGTAACAGCAATCATAACAAGGTATGAAGAATGATGGAAAGCCCAGGACACCTGGGGAACCAAGAGTGTCAACTGTCCTGGAAGGGACAGGGAACACTAGTGGTTGGAGAAAGTTTCCAGAGGAACTAATCCATCTTAATTACATCTTAACCATAGAAACAGCACAGATAGCTCTGTACTTTAAAACTGGAGCTGATGAAGGCAAGATGAGAGGCAGAAAACCCAGTTAGAAGCAAAAGGCACAATCTAAAATGAAAGTGATGAATTAAGGAATGTTTCCCGGAATGCAGATAATAGGACAGATTCCAAAGAAACTTAGAAAACAGAATTTACAAAATCTGGAAATAATTTGAAAGATGAGTAAGGAAGGAGGAAAGATCAAAGATAAAAACAAAATTTCTAATTCTAATTTGGAAATTAATTGCAAATTACACCGATAGCTAGATGGTGGTCATATTGGCTGAACTAGGAGACTATGGCAGGCTTGAGGAGGAAAAGGATCCTGAATTCTGTTTAAGGTCTTTTGATATTCACAGATGTCCTTAGAATAACCACAGATTATGTTACATAGTTAAATATATTTGTCTGAAGTTCAAGACCTGGATTGGCAATAAGTATTTTGGATTCACCCATATATCTATAGTGGTTGAAACTCTTGGACGATGGGAAGGGTGAGGTCACACAAGGAATCATGTAGTATGAGGACAGAAGAATCAGGAAGAACACTAAGAATAAAAGGGGAAAGTAGCCAGCAAGGACACTGAGAAATTTCGTAACTTTGGTTTCATCACTCTAATTCTAGGAATCAATCTCCAGACAATAACCAGAAGAAATACATGCCAAAAAACGTATTTAGAAAGACATATTTGGCTGCTCCTGTCCCCAACCTCCTTTACTGTTTCAGTGAAAGTAACACTAAGTAAGTCTTGGTAGCAGTCACGTCCCCACCAGGCATTCCTTCTCCCTACCACTGGCATCAAGAAAAGAAGTAAATGACCTAGATTCAGCCAACCAGAATGAACAGTTTGGATTTAATTCTTGAGGGAGAGTGTGATGCAAGTAGCAGTTAGAATCCAATGAAGGCAGTAGTGAAGGTGGCAGCACCTATGGGGTGTTGTGGAGCTGGGGTATCTGGTGACTGTGGTGCAGCTCCCTACCAGCCTGTTTCTGAGGAGTCACTGTGGCCACGGTTCCTTGATGTCTGTCTAGCTTACAAACCTGGTTCTCCAAACTTCCACTGTGTCTGTAAGCTACACAAGTGTCTCAATAAATTCATTTTCTATTGTTTTTTTTTTTTTTTTAACCAAAGTTCATCTCTGTTTCTTGCAGCTCAGAACACTGGCTGGTATGTTTTCTTGCCATGGAATTTATTAAAAAGAATAACTACCCCCAAAAGTCCAAATGTTTAAAAGAAACGAAAAAGTGAGCAGATTGTAGTATATCCATACAAGGCTATGCTATATTAATAAACACTTCAAGATATATTTATAAGTTGGCATGTGAAAGTTATACAAAACTGTTAAAAATAATATTACCTAATTACAAATAAAAACCTCTGGTTAATTTTTCCTAAATAAAAATTATTTAAATATTATATGACCAAAATGAGAAATAATAATCACCAAAAAAGTAAAACTATGGAATCAATGACTAAATATTGGCTAGTAAATTTTACATTCTTGTCTGGATAGAATTATTTTTAATGACACTACAGGTAAAAAATCATGTCAGATTAAATTCAACAGAAATTTAAATGTTTTTGCTCTATACAGTTACAGAAAGAAACTATAAGTAATATGCAGTAGAAGGCATCAAGCTCTTCTGTCTGTCTCATACCTTCTAGAGACCCTTTTAATTAGAGGGAGATTTCTAGCTTTTAGGAGTCTTGCCCCCCTAAGACAAAGCTCAGAAATGCTCTTCACCACCCTTCTTAACCGCTAGGGCTTAGGCCCCTGGGTCCATACCAGACTCACCAATTCAATATGATGTTGATCTGAGTAATTTGAAGTTTGATACAAAACCCGTTTTGCTGATGGAGGGTGGCAACAGAGGCATCTGACTTTGGTAAGTGCCAATAGTTGCAAGTATGAGTTCCCAACATAGGACACCTTTTAAAAATTCTAAGTATCCTAGAAAGATTCAAGGAATATTACATCCACACAATTAAATTTGCTCTATAATGAACAATCGAAGGGCAAGAGTTCCAGGAAAGAGAGGGAGTAAACTAGGAAAAGGAGATAATCACTTGGTGAAGAGCAGATCTGGACTTTTCATGGAGAACTTAATGTCATATATACACATGCTGATCTCAAAAATGAACACCTGAAACTTATCCACTGTTACAATGTAGTGTAACTTCAGCAAAAGAAATTAAAAAATTAAAAATACAAATTACAAAATCCATAATTACAAATTTTAGTTCTCTTTTTTAAGTTGTGTAAGCATTTGTCAGAGATGAAGCCATGGGGTACTCCAAAAAGAAAAGCACACATAGAACTTTGAAAGAATACAGCAAATTTGAGAAATGCAAGAACTTTGGTACAGTTTGAGAAAACAGAAGATAGTCACTTCTTCAGTGTTCCTAAAAATTATTTCTAAATTCTCCCGACCATATTTCATAGTCTTCCTCTGAATCACTATTCTTATAATACATTATAACATATAATTATAAATCAAATTATATGAATGTAATTATAATATTATCCTGTCAAAGTCTAACTGGCTTTATATAATTTCTGTATAAAATGTATATATCCCATACCAGAAAAGAAAGTCCTCTTTCTCTTCAGAGCCTTGCAAAAAAGAACTCTCTGCAAATCTTAGTTTAAAAAACAATTTAATCGTAAAAGAAGGCTACATAACTACACAACAAAAGAGAAAGGTTAAAAAGTTGCAAAGAGTTCATATGAGCAAAATGACTAAAAAAAAAAAAAAGGGTGAAAATTATGCGAAAGATATTTTAAGACCAGAAGGAGAGATCCAGGAGATTCTATTATACCCATCTATGGCAGACACCTATACAGAAAATCTCCTTTTCCTTCTTCCTTGCTTTCCTCTGCTATAATCACAAAGTGAAATATTTGAGTCCCCAGTCATGCTAGCGGCAACAAAGACAACAAAGGCCATGTGACACAACATAGCCAATGAGATGCAGGTGGCCATACCCTCCCAAATGAAAAGGCAAAACCTCCAAGGGTTAGGTTACCCCTAACAGGTCCCCCATTCTTTCCATCTGGAAAATGGATGCATAGCAGCAATCTTGCCAACCTAGACACAAAGTCACACTAAGAATTTAAAGCAGGAAGATAGACACTAGCTGCTAGCAATTGGATTTCTTGTTACTGAAGAAAAGTAAGCTTCTTATTTGTTTATATCACCATTTGTAAAATTTCTGTCTGTCACATTCCCAACTAAAATTCCATTTTACAGATAGCCCAAAAGGCAAGAAAAGAAATGACGGGAAGGAAGAAATAAGAGAAAGTAATTTGCTGAAGTGAAGAAAGACTTGAACTTTCAAATTAAAAAGGGCCTATAAGGTATGATGAATAATCAAAAATGTTTTCAAGACACACATATAAATAGGCTCTGGAAAGTTTACAAAAACTCAAATAAAGAAAAAAATCCTAAATACTTCCTGAAAAAAAGGACTTTTGTATCTAGAATCTAGTTACCATTCAAGCTATAAATCGAATGAGAGAAAAATAAATAAAATGCGTGTGCTCAAAAATTATATACCACCATTTCTTCGGGAAAAATGGTTAACTCCAGAAGAATAATTTTTTAAAAAAATTGTACAAATAAACAATTAGTTGAACTTAAGACATAAATACTAACAAAATAGTATGTAAAAGGTACTATTAACAACAAAAAGGCACTAGAATGTATAATGAAGATCTATCATGCTATAGTTTGGTATATAGAGAATCAGCAGCAGCAGCTTACCCAACCTCAAAATTAAAAAGGACTCTAGGAATGAGACATAGTACCTCAATTCTTACATTTATCTTAGCTTTTGTTAATAAAACTGTATCACCATGAATCCTAAAGCTCAAATCCTAAATCTCATAATTACATGGATATTTGCAGTTTACCTTACCCACTCTCGTCCCTGCTTCACAAAACACACCAGATGCTAAAGAGGCCTGACTGTTCTCTGGATTCCAGATTATCTAGAGACTGTAGTCTATGATGTTCTGTAGATATGCTTTTGGTTTGGGCTGAGGGAGGGGTATAGATATTTTGTTTACCCACTACAGAACATTTTTTAATCATATTAGTTGTCTACATTTAAAAAGAGACATTTTTCCCATTAAAAAGGTCTGTATTCATAAATTCTCTTGACAAATTGGAGGAAACCGGCACCCCAGAGCTGAGATTTCCATGCTGCAGCAGCCAGATGATGCTGGCTATGTTGGCTCCCACTGGACTGGCAGGTCACCCCGACTTGTCACAGATATTATTGCACAAGTGCACAGAGCAAAAATTGCCCTTTAACTGAGAGGTCTTAGACTGGGTTCCTGAAACATAGCGCCTAAGACAGGGATTTTTGTTCAAGTAACTTATTGGGGCAGAGCTTTCAGGGGACAGGGTGTGAAGAAAGCTGACTTGGACAAGGGAATAAAGCCAGGCAAGGATGTGTCTCAGCTGAAGACCAGCTGACCCCTGGGGAAACTCACACTAACTAACTGAGCCTTAGGGCTCATCCCATCTTGAGGCGAGGGAGCAGGGCTAAGGGTTGGGGAAGTGCTGTCCTGAGCTGCTGAATTCCCATTTAGCCAAGGGCACTTCTCCAGGGAAGAGGGCAACCATTCACCCTTGTCGCAGGGCTGAGGGATAGATGCACAGATAGTGCCTGGCAGAAGGGATCTGGGCAGGGTGCCAGCAGCATTCACTACATGATATTTTCATTAAACAGAAAGAAATAAATGGCAGGAAACAGGGTTAAGCACTTCAAGAACACAAGGAAAGTATATTTCTTTGTGGAGGTAAAAAGCATTCTGATAATTTAATATGCAAACGAGTGATTTAAAAGCTCAAGTATTCCTTATGCGACCAATTCAGGTCACATTTGGACCCTCTATTACATGTTGTTCTCCTGTGCTCAATGTGTGCTCCCTCCAGACTCTTCAGGGAAATGAATGTTTAGGGTTAACTGGGAAAATCAGTGTTTAGGGTTACTGAAGACTACACTGAAATACAATGAAGCCAGTTTAGGGATAATAAAAGTCTGAAATAAAAAGACACTGAAAAACACATTCATATGCCATCAAGTGACTAAGTCCATCACATCACAGGCAAAGGTTATTATTGTGATAGCCAAAGTGTAGTCACACTTAAAATGACATAAAATTATCCTTTGAGAGTCAATAACAAATTGACCAAGAATAAATTTGAAAACCTTCATTTACTTTATAAAGCAAAAATAAATAAATAAATAAAACTTCATAAGGCAAGATTTTTTTTAACCCAGAGGATATTGTCTCAGTCTGAAAAATGATTGTGAATTTGTGTTAGCGGGTAAATAACATGATAAAAAATTAAAATTGAAAAGCATAGAGGTCACTGAATATCAGCATTTACATACCTCAGAACTGGACAGCCCTGAATCTTGATCATCTAGGTCCTTCAAAAGTTCAATCAGCCTTTTCTTCTCTCTGTCACTCATAACCACTGGTTTTCCTGAATCCTTTGCCAACTACAAAATGCATTGATAGAAAATATTTTCAAATCAAAGCAATTCATAGTTAAGGAAAAATGAAAATGGAATCTGAGGCTTCTATAATACAGATTCAATAAGGCAAAATTTGTTAGATAAGGCATTTTTCTTTTGCTAGGTAACTTCATTCTATGCCAAATTTTTGGTATCTAGGTCCATTCTCCATGCAAAGATATACCCACTATAAGCAGGATTTCATGTTAATAATTTCAACAAACATTTTATTTAAAACATAAAATAAAACAATAAAATGTGGACAGTTTGCAGACCTCTTATATAACATATCAATGCAGCATAATTGCTAAGGCATTTGGAAGGAATCTTCTTGCCACTTCCAGATGGCATAAATCTGCCAGATGAAACTACTTTTAATTTTCAAGAATATCATATCAGGAGTTTAAATAAAGAATCAGTTACTACTGTTAAAAGAGTGAAAGGGAAATCTATGGTGGAGTTTCCTGTGTCAGTATAAATTTTGATATTGGAGAAATGCTACTGCTCTTGGAAAACTAAATAATATAACATACATTGGGCCAGCACAAAGAGACAGATCAAGGTAGTTTCTTGCAGCACATATGAATACGGATAACAGAAAAACTGACAGTTCCAGAGGCCAATCCTGGCAGGAAATGAGAAGCCAATTGTGGAAAAAGCATTAGGTTTGAATTGCAAGGAAGCACTTACCTCTCCTCTTATTAATCCTTCCCACCCACCAAAACAATTTTCTAGTGACTCAACTGACTGAGTAGTTTGTCATGAACTTTCTGTCCACTACACTTATATTTCTTGCTGTAAATTCATTAATTAGCACTCTGATCTAATATAGGAGCCCCTGTGTCCTTGGATAGTCTGAGTCTGCTGTAAGGACAAACCAAGTCAGAGTGGAGGGACTGAAGACCAAGGACAAGCCCCTGAAGCAGGGACCTAATCAAGGCAAGTGACCAGTGACCAGCTGCTATGAGGCTCAGCAGACTGGGGATGAGGGCAACAGAGCAGACACCCATTGTCTTCCCCAGCTCTGTCATGAGCATTTCCCATTCAACTTTCTAAAGGCACCAGGTATAAACTCAGTCTTAATATTTTAAAAAGCTAAATTTACTAATAACAATAGTATCTAGGAAACACTGTCCAAATAAATAATACTTATTTACCTAAATAAGTGTTTTTCAAATTGGAGGAACCAGATTTATTCTGGGAGTTACAGTTAATAATTTTTAAAAGGATAGGACATGATAGGAAAGGATGGAATAGAAATTAATGAAGTAGTAGTTCATGAAATTCCTCTTCCAATTACATATACTGTTTCAATTTCATATACATATATCATGGTCAAAAAAAATATTTAAAGACACTGAATACAACTATTTCCATTTTCACAGTTCATTTAGTCCCACATTTTGGCTCCTGAGTTTCTAAGTACATACCTCAATGTTTCGCTTAATAAAATCCTGGCTGTGTTTATCCCTGAGCTCAATCTTTTCTGTATTTGAGAAATGTTTTTCTGCTTTGATCAATGTCTCATTTCTTTCCACATCATAGGTAAAATCTAATATTAAAAAAGTTCAAAAGTTTTTCATCATTATAGTTGTGAATCATGGTATGACTTCACTTTAACCACATATTAAAATACATATAAAGTAAAATACACATAGAAGAACTTCTAAATTTCAGGTCCAAAACATAATATAAATGGAGACTTATTCTTAACACATAAATGTGCTACCACAATTTGCAATGAAGTTTTCAGAAAACTTGTAATATTTATTATTATCTACCAAACTTCTTGCTACTAATTCCTTGGGAATCATGAAACAAGAAAAGAACTTCAAATGATACATGTGAAGAAGAAATCTCTGATGTTATAGGGATTTTAAGATATTTTTTATTTAGGCTTTATATGAAACAAAACTTTCCCTAGAGGCTAGAGTTATTTCTTACTATTTTATTAATTTGCCATTTCATTCTCTGAACAATAAACTTTTTGTTCAAACCTGTCTTTTAAAAGGCCTGAGGATGAGAGTCCTGTATGGTCTACATCCCATTTGCAAAAACCCTTAGAGACTATCTCTGTCAGTTTTTCTAAACCTCTGAAAAGAGGCTTGAGTCAACCTCTCAGATGATCATATCTGAGTGCTCAAAACAAGGGTAAAAAAACTACTTGTGGACTCTTCCCTTTATTCTATTTATTTTCACCTTTTAAAACAAGATCATGAACCCTTCATAAAAGCTCTTAAAAAATGCACAAAGAGGACTCTTCTTATGTAACAAATGGAGTCCACCCTACAAAATAGGATAAATTACCATATTAAAGACCAAAAGGAAAAAACACCAGCCAGTAACTCAATTCAGACAAAGCTTACTTAAAAGTTATCTTTGCTTTATGAGAGAAGTTACCTCAATAAAAAGAATTGAGGGAACTAGCCAATTGGTATATTTATCAAAGCTAATTATCAAATATTCAACACAAATTTAATAAGAGTAAGTTTTTATAATAATAGCTAAAAAACAGGAAAAAGTTAAGGGCTCTAGATTTAAATAAAAATCTGACTTTAAAAAGTTTTACTCAAATTTAAACAGTAAATTTCTAGGCAAATAAATCTACATTTTATAATTGGCATTTTATTTTTAATTCAATCACATACTTATTCTTTAAATCAACTACCAATAAAGTATGTTTCATCACTAGTTTCATCTAAAGTATGAGTTACCTTTTTGTTGAGTAACCTCCTTAGGTATAAAATTTATAACTTGTTTCCATAATCCAAGTTGCAAATTGTTTTAAGTCAAAATATTAGGCTTATTCACTCAGCTTAAGTTTTGTATACTCTTATATTATATAATATTACACTAACTCAAATTAAGTGTATCCAGGTCCATATTTATAATAGTTTCCTTAAAATATACATTTAACCAATTATAAGGAAAAACACTGAATTGCCTGCTGAGAACTGTCTCACTGGAAATGTCCTCTTCTCTTCTCTATCCTGGTGGTGATCCATGGCAGAAGCTGCCAAAATCCTAAGAGGAACCCAGCACTTGCTGGGTTGGAAGAGTGGTTGAATGAGGGATTTGGCAGCTAACCCAAGTCGGATACTGGAATAGATCTCCCTTACAATGACTAACCACAGAATATGCCCTTGGGAATAAAAGAAAGCTGAATACCACCAGGATTCTTTCCATAGATTTTCCTTGTTGCTTAAGCTAGATTTCCAATACTTGCACAGCCAGCTTTTCTTTTTTTTTTTTTTTGCACTTTCATTAGTAATACTTTTTATTTTTATATTCCCCATACAATTGCAACCCCCTTATTTTGACCCCATTCTCTCCTTTCCCCGCCCCCTCCCCAGCTTTTCTTTATCTCTTTATTATATAAAATTTCTAGCATCCGAAAGAAGAAAAATGGTATAATGAACCCTCAACAGCTAGCCTCAACAATGATCAACTCATCACCAAACTTGTTTCATCAAGAAGTTCACCTACTATCAGCCACCTCTGGATTAAGTCACATCAAATCATTTCATTAGTGAGTATTTCTATATACAAAAAATGATGCAATATGCAAAAATTACAATATGCAAAAATTACATAAATAACAGGCAAAAGATTTATGTAACCTGAAGAGAAAACAGAGTGTAAATCCACACACCTTGATTGACATGCTGTATACATTTTTCATAGTCTTCAGGAGGGACTTGAGTGTGAAACAATGAGAAAAATGTGTCTTCATGCTCACAGCGAGAAGGATCTATTGATTTAAAAAATTCACTTTTCAATGCAAATAAATATGAAGTTATTTGCAAAAAGATAACAACTAATGTCTCTGTATTATTCTTCAGTTCCCTCAACACAGACTTTTTGTTTTTTGTTTTGTTCTTTTTATTGTGGTAACATACAGGTTTACAATACTGTATGTAATTTAGAGGTATAGGCTCACACCCTTCATATGTGTGTGACTACACCATGCCCACCACACCACCATTTTTACAATCCAGAAATATGTTTTCCTCTTACAGCCTTGTCAATTCGAGATGGCTGCTATAACGCACATTCCTAACCCTCTCCCAGGAGCTGGAGACCTCAGTCAGTCCTAACACAGCCAAGATCATATTAACATTCATTGAAGAGAAAAAAGTAAAATGAAACTTCTGTATTTTTTTACTGCCAATTTGTTTTTATTCATAACTCCTTTAGTACTGTTTGAATTCCAACTTCATAAATTTGAGAAGGATCAGACTCCTTTATTTTTTCCTCCAACTTATCTTCTAAGTAATAAAAACCTGTTCCTCTATTTTGCATTTGTGTATACAGTCTAATGAAATCTCAATTTCTACAAAAGAATGTTCACATGTCAATACACTATGAAGCCTATTATGAAGCAACTAAAGTTATAAATGAAATTTTCATTCTAATTAGTAAATCAGTCACTTTAATACTTTCACCTACTAGCAGAATATATTATCTATGAAAGAAGTTATGTATGTACATATAATATATATATGAAAGTTATCTATCATCTATTCTTTATAAATTACTATAAGAAGAAAACATATTTCTGGATATACAATTAAATAAATAAAAACTTAATATCTCTATTTTATCCTATTAACAGATATAAGATCATAAATATGAGATCATTTTAAAAGAGCCTTTTTTAAAAAAGATTTATTTATACATGCATACAAAAACTGGGGTTAAACCAGATATATGGGGGTGCAGGGGATGAGAGGATTCACCAAAGACAGAGTGGGAAGCAGAACAGGCAGTTGTACTGAAATACACAGCTGAGGGGAGCAACGGGCGAGACAGGAGAGGTCTGCTGTGCCATGTGGGTTGCTCCCTGGCTGGCAGGTGATCAAACTCGTGCTGCAGTGGCTGCTGATAGCTTGATAGCGCTGTCTTTAACCCCTGCACCATCAGGGAGGCCCCATTTTAAAGTAATGTCTAAATTTTCAAATAACAGAAAGTGACAACAAGGAAAGAACAGATTTTTACCTGCCTCACTTTACACATTAAAATCCTACAGTATTTTAATATTCTAATTGCTATTCAATACAGGCTATTTCTATTATTCAAAAACATGGTAAACATTATGCAAACAATTAAGTATAAATACAAGCTAACTTTTTCAACTGTTGTTACTGGAAAGATATCAGATCATATACTGCTTCACGTCTGGAATAATTGTGTAGACACACTGTATGTGGAGATTGTGTTTTGGGATGAGATACGTTGGACATGGGTATTTACATTTCCAACATCTGGGTCAGTATAGAGACAAGCTAAGGATAAAAAAACTTCTTGGCAAACCACTTCTTGATAAGTGTGGAATGCAGAACGGTTGACATCTGTAATTGAAGTAATTTGTGAGAAGCCACATTACATAGACAGAGAAGACACCTTACTTAACTTCTACTATTTCATCATTAAGATTATAATCCATTCATCAGTTTAAATTCTTTTTTTTTTTTTTAGAGGCATGTTTTATTTATTTGTTTGTTTGTTTGTTTTGTTTATACAAGCACTGGGTACAGTCAGAAGCGCGGGAGGGTGAGAGAATTCACCAGAGCCAGAACGGGGAGCAGAGCAGGCAGAAGGACTGAAACACACTGCTGAGGGGAGCAGCAGGCGGCAGGAGAGGTCTGTGCGCCATGTGGGACCCTCCTCCAGTGGCCGGGAAGCAGCCGGGGATCAAACTGGCGCCGCAGAGGCTGTGGGCAGCTTCGCAACCCAGCGCTCAACCACTGTGCCACCGGGGAGGCCCCCATTCATCAGTTTAGACACACAAATACATTATTGTTCAAAATAAGTGAGAATTTAAAAACACTCAAATCGCTAAGTATGATTACGACAATAATCTGCTCCATTTGTCTTTCAGATATTTGGTGAAATGACTGCAGCCTAGAGCCAAACAACCAACACCATCTTTAGTTTTGTTTATTGTAATAAAGAAAGTGTGTTAATGAAAAAGTGCAAGCATAGATAATAGAAATTAATGTGCCCCTATACAAAGAAAACTATAAAACACTGTTAAAAGAAATAGAAGAAGACACAAAGAAATAGAAAGACATCCCCTGCTCATGGATTGGAAGAATAAACATTATTAAAATGGCCATCCTACCAAAAGCAATATACAGATTCAATGCTATTCCAATCAAAATCTCAATGTCATTCTTCAAAGAAATAGAACAACTATTGATGAAATTCCTATAGAATCACCAAAAACCTCGAATATCCAAAGCTCTCCTGAAAAAAAAAGAAGGGAATGGAGGCATCACACTCTCAGACTTCAAACTATACTACAAAGCCATAATCATCAAAACTGCACGGTATTGGAACAAGAACATACAGACCAATGGAATCGAATAGAAAATCCAGAAATAAACCCACAGATTTATGGTCAACTAATCTTTGACAAAGGAGCAAAGACTATGCATTGGAGCAAAGAAAGTTTGTTCAATAAATGGTGCTGGGAAAACTGGGTCGCTACATGCAAAAGAATGAAGCTTGACCACTACCTCACACCATACACAAAAATCAACTCAAAATGGATTACAGAACTAGACATAAGACCTGAAACCATAAAATACATAAAAGGAAATATAGGCGAAACACTACGTGATATGCACATCAAAGACATCTTTACAGACACATCACCCAAAGCAGTGATAATGAAGGCAAAGATAAACAGCTGGGACTACATCAAATTAAAGAGCTTCTGCACAGCAAAAGAGACAATAACAAAAACAAAGAGAAACCCCACCAACTGGGAGAACATTTTTGCACACAACACTAATGATAAAGGACTGATCACAAAAATCTACAAAGAGCTGATGAGACTCAACAACAACAAAGAAAATAATCCAGTGAAAAAATGGGCAGAAGAGCTAAAAAGAAACTTCTCTGAAGAGGAAATGCAAATGGCCAACAGGCATATGAAAAAATGTTCAACATCACTTGTAATCAGGGAAATGCGAATCAAAACTACCATGAGATACCATCTTACACCAGTGAGAATGGCACATATTAAAAAAAACTAGCAACAACAAATGTTGGCGAGGGTGTGGAGAAAAAGGAACTCTCCTGCACTGCTGGTGGGAGTGCAAACTGATCCAACCACTATGGAGAGTTGTGTGGAGATTTCTGGACCTACTAAACATAGAGCTTCCATATGATCCAGCAATTCCACTCCTAGGTATTTACCCAAAGGACACAGAAACATCAATTCCAAAGAACACCTGCACCCCTATGTTTATAGCAGCACTATTAACAATAGCTAAGCTTTGGAAACAGCCCAAATGCCCAAAAATAGATGACTGGATCAAGAAGATATGGTACATATATACCATGGAATATTACTCAGCATTCAAAAAAGATAAACACATGCAATTTGCAGCAACATGGATGGCGCTGGAAGGGATCATGCTCAGCAAAATAAGCCAGAAAGAAAAAGAAAAATACCGGATGGTCTCACTCATAGCAGGAATCTAGAAAACTTAGGTAAGGGACCAGGAAAATGAATAACTATAAGAAAGTAAAAATCAAAATCAACATAAAACTATGAACCAGAGACACTTTTTGTGGGGTGGGGTGCGGGAGGGGAGGGATTGGGGTCAGAATGGGGGGGCTGCAATTGTATGGGGAATATAAAAATAAAATTTATTATTAAAAAAAAATCAAGGCAAGTACAGTAAAAGCTAATATCCTTAAATAGCATCACGAACTGTACATCTAACAACTATTAAAATCATTTTTACTGAAGTGTATCTTAAAATGATCCAATATGAAAAATGACAGCAATATACTCAAGACTGACTAAGTCTAGTCTATGGAAATAAATGAATTTTGGTCAATATTTAAAAGTTATTCTGGATAATCGCAGGAAACAGGAGTTTAAAAGTATCTACATATACTCTATTTTTTCCTGTTTATATCCAAGTTTCATTAATCTAATTCTAGTATTGTAAATTATTATACACAATTCCTTTCTAAAACATCATTTTGATTCAAATAAAAGTAAACCCTCACTATCACTTATATGATAGGATACATATGTGTACACAGATAATAAACAGTCTATGGTATTAGAACACATTATATGGTATATACCATATTATATGGTAGTATATGGAAAAATGTGGGAGATAGAAAGTATTATTAGATTTTATATATGATGTAAATAACAGATAACATCACTAATTGTAACTGTGAAATATTGTGTTATAAATCACTTAAGAAGTCTTCAAAAAATACAGTATATAATTCATACTGTTTGTAAACAGCACATTTTAAAATATGCTAACTTACTAAAAAACAAATCTTCAATTAGGAAAAATGTATAACAATTTCCGTCTTACATTGAAGAAAGATTTTCAAGTAAGCACCTTATGACTTAGTATCAGAATACATTGTTTAGTCTAATTTTTTCTAATTGCCTGAAAAATTAATGCACATCAATATAAGCATTTGTTGGACTAAGTTAAAAAATAGTCCAAGGTCATGTTGCTTCTGTGAAATGTTCAAAAACAGGAAACAAAAACAGAAGTTCCATTTCAAAGTAAGGACATCTTGTTTTGAATATTGAGCATTAAAATCACTGCCAAATTGAGGAACACCCTTTTGAAAAAGATTTATCTATTTTTGCATACAAAAGCTGGGAGTGCAGGCCAGAGTTGCAGGGGGTGAGAGGACTCAATAGAGACAGAGTGGGGAGCAGAACAGGTGGATCCACTGAAACCCACTGCTGAGGGGAGCAGTGGGGAGACAGGAGAGGTCTGCTGCACCATGTGGGTCAGCTCCTGGGCTTTGGATCAAACTCTTGAGCATTTGCCTCAGTGGCTGGTGACAGCTTCATAGCAGGGAGACTTAACTCCTGCACCACCAGGGAGGCCCTGAATAATACAAGTCTAAGCCAGAGTAAACTATGGTGTGACAGGTGAATTCTACCGAACTTTAAAAAAAAAAAATTTTTTAAGATTTATTTATTTATGCACTCAAGAACTTGGTGCAGGCCAGAGGTGCAGGGGGTGAGCGGATTCACCAGAGACAGAATGGGGAGCAGAAAAGGCAGACTGGTTGAAAGCCACTGCTGAGGGAGCAGCAGGTGAGTCAGGAATGGTCTGTTGCCCCATGTGGGTCACTTCCCTGGTTGCCTGGGGATGGAATTCCTGCTGCAGAGGCTGCCCATAGCTTCATTTAGTGCTGTACTTAACCCCTCGTGCCACCCGGGAGGCCCCACTTTTGAAGACATTATACCAATTCTCTACAGTTCTGAGTGACTTTCTCATGGTAGAAGGTACTTGAACACTTCATACCTATAGGATCACACACATGCACAAACTCATGTACAGACTCACATGCACACAATTGTACAGTGCAAGACATGCACACACACCGAAAGAAAATAGTGCAAATACCTAATTACATACTCATTGGTAGCTCTGCTTCACTCTATTTCACTGTATTATCACCACGTGACCACTCTGACTTCTCTAAAATTTTCTAAATGCTTTCTAAAATTTTCTAAATTTTATAAAATTTTCACTACTGATTATAGGAATTTTAAAGGAAATTGAGGTATCTGATGACCGATGTGCTGGAAGTGTGGGCGCATTCATAAATGTTAAGCAAACGCAGCCGGGGATAGACATTTTAACTGAACAATCCATCAGACTGTCTCCTTCAGGCAGAGAAAGACCATTTAGATGCCTCCACACCCCAGGGCCCCACAGGCAGAGCAGGTCACCTGGAGGTGCCCCCTGCAATAGGGAGCCAGTGTGTCCATGGTGACTGCCTCCTTGCGCCTTCTGGGACCTGCATTGGATGAGAAGAGCCAATAAAGCCCAAGCACAGAGTTACCTGTTGAGGAGGCTCTTTTGTTAGTGAAATCCCCCGAGGAGTGCTGCACAGACTTAGATGTGACAAAACTCAGATGGAAACCAGGAGGCCCTACGAAGCTGCCACTAGCTGGCAGGTGAGCCATTCTCCAACTTGCAATCTCCGTTTTGAAAAGGGGCCCAATCCAGGGGGACTTGCTACCGTGGATGTCAGTCCCTGACAGCGCCATTCAGCCCTAAGAGCTCCTGCATCGTCTGCACCATCCGTGTGCCCAGGAGCCGACAGCAGGGCTCTCTCAGCAAGGGGCAGGGTGGCCCTCATGGGATACAGCCTAAGATGGGGAAGCAAGGCCCTGGGGTCCCAGTCTCTGGCCCTGGGGCCTCTGCAGGCTCTGCCCTCACAGCTCCACTCCCATCCTGGGGCCCTGCACCTGCTCAGCAGCCCTCAACCTCTCCTTTCCCCCCTTCACCCGCTCTGCTCCCCTCCAGGTACTTCACCAGTCCTGTTGCCCTCCTGGCCCTTCACCTGCTCCTTGGACTTCTGTGCTCCCAGACATCTGTTCTCCATGTCTATGCATCTCATGCTGCTCCTGGCCCCTCTGGCTGGGCCCAGTCCCTGACCCCTCTCCAGAGCCTCGGCCTCCTCTGGTGTGCTCCTGTTCACCATGGCCACTGGGTGGGTGTGGGGTGCGGGGTGAATTCTGTGGAGTGTGGTGGTGATAGTCATAGTCTCTGGTTGTATGAACTCTGTGGTGGTGTTTTTCATGGAACGCCCAAGAAATAGGGGGCCATGAATTCCGGGATGCCGCAGTAGGTCCTCAGCAGCACTGCCCCAGAACACAGATACAGCAAAATTTTAAAATGGTTTTGATGATACTTTTAGCTCTGGCCTTGCCACCTCGGCCTGAAATTCGTGTGGACTCTACATCATCAGCATTGTGTTCATGGGCAGTCTTCCTGCAGGGGCCACCGCACTGCTGAACTGGAGGCGCCAGCCACTTGGCCCGGCAGGCCTAAGGTCACAGTGCTGGAGGGCTTGCGGGCTGGGCTGTTTTTGCGTCAGTATTCCTGGTCCCCCTCC